TGTAACGTCACAATAAGTTATAATATATTGCAATTATAAAAATGTTATACACAAAAAAATACTTACAATTATACATAAATATCCAAATTCTTTTCTCTACCTTCCGGTATTATCTGTAATTATTTTATTCATAACGTAACGTTTAAATATTATTAAAATCAGATAACCGATACAGGTTTTAGTGCCGTCGCCGTATCGCCTCGTGCTACAAGTACTGAACAAAAGAAGAAGCACGATTATACCGTTGCGCCAAGAAATCGCTGAGGAACGAGACAACATCCTCAATCCCCGACCCGGATTCCTCGATTTACATGAGCGTCGATTTACAATCGTCAATTTAGGTCCAGTGTTCGATTTGACTACTTCCTTTCCCGTTGCATTACTTTCTTCAATGTGCAATAAATTTAGAAATTGTAAAATGTGTTCCCCAGTGAGTGTCCTCAGTTTTCAACTCAGAATAATAATTACGTAAAAGCGTGAATGCGAACAAGAATGAAATAAAAATGGAAAATCACAAGTCACTCGAATTTCCAGTTTGAATGCAGCAAACAAAAAGAAGTAACAGACTTAAATACAAGTCGTGAATACAGCAGGTCTTATACTCGCGAACAGATTATAAACCGCATACGCAACTCTTACTATATGATATGAAAAATTAAAAAGAAAATAAATGATTAGCTTCATTTCTATAAGATTATTTTTTAGTATTTGACACATTTAACAAATTCTTTTGTGAAGCATGCTATGATGTAAGATAAAATAATCCTAGCGAAACACTATAAACATTCTCTCGGTAATGAAGACAACGAGATCTCTTCAGCAATTGAGACAAGAACTAAATTAACATCGATCTAACTCAGCACATTTTATTGTTTCAGGATGAACAAATCTTGAGGTATATTAATATGCATTTAACGTTCTCCTATCGAGTTTGAGGAAACCGAAACTGGCTGATCACCAATTCCATAGAAAACTCCTTATTAAATTATTAACTTATTAACCAGTCTTTCACGTCTAAAGTGAATATTCAGATCAACGTTTTCGGCAGTTTAATGTACGCTATGAAAATTCGAAAAGTTCATCTCAGGATGAGGCTTCGCCATGAGCCCAGAGCACTTACCTTCCAAAGTCGCTCCGAGATACCGCGCTGCACAACACCGTTTTATCACCTCATCGTGTCACGACACCGCACGTGCTGTATTCCCGCGCACCATTCTATGTTCACTTAAACGTATTCGCGAAATCGCGTCGAATCCGTATGACGCATCCCGCGGAGAGGTATAACTAACAGGTACGAACAGACGTGAGAAAATGTCTCTTCTACCCTCGCGGTATCATTGAACGGTCGGCGTCGTTCCGGACCGAAAAGAGAACCAACCGGTGTCTGCCAGCCAATGGACAGGTCTATACTGCATCCTAAGGAGGTATGCGGCCTCCACCACGGGAATGGAAGGTATGGAGAGAGAGAGAAAGAGAAGTGAGCGAGAGAAGCCGCGCGCCTCGGAGTAAAGAGTGGCTATAGTCCGTACTGTAAAGCTCCACCGAGGACGACGACGACCTGAGGAGCGAGTCTTTTTCTCTCACGTATTGCTATTCGGGGTATTGGGTGACCCTCGAAATCGATTTGACGACCTTCGGCCGCAAATCCCAAGAATTACGTTTGGTCCCGAAGAAATTGGATGGTTTGCGGAGCGATTTTTTTGCGATTAAAAACTCTATCGAACTCCTTTTTACAATATTAATATAATTTTTATCTCTATATGTTTTACAACAATCGATATACAAAGCAGGTAATTTTCTGTAATATAAGCGTTACAATGCTGAATATTTTGTGACAAGGATTTAATAATGCAAAACGAGAAAGAAGAATATTCTGCTTATCAATATATTATTAATTTCTTGATAAAGAAATTAAATCATCAGTCGAAAATTTTTGTGCCGTTTATAATAAATTGCTATGACTCATCTGGTTGACATATGATTCGACAGTAATGAAAAATGGCAGAAGATTAGGGCTATATATAATGAGAAGCGAATCGATGATGAGAATGGAATTGCGTCATCAGTTTTCCTGACATTTCGTTTGCTAGAAGCAATCTTGAAGGTGTTGGGATCTTTTGACGTAGCTCCTTGATTAATCTTCTGGTGTACCATTAGGAAAGCTATTTTTTTCGAATGGAGTTATTCACGTTGAAATGAAGTTAATCGTACATACAGTCATACAAACATTGCGATGAAGAAATTCGTGCCAATAATTAGGCTTTAAAGAGAAAACTTCGCGAGAGAAAGTAATATTTTTTCATTCAACGAAGCGTCCGCATCCATAATAATTAAACAATTAGCTGCTTTAAAAACCTCTTTATAGTCTTGAGCTATAAGAACTTTAATATTCAATCAAGATGTTGCCACTTGAGATAAAGATTATTAAGAGCAATATAACTTAACACATAGTATTAGCATATTAGAGTAAAGAATTTATTTTTTAAATGCTATCAAAGAATTATTTATTAAGAATCTCAAAGATACAAAAATTTAATTTTTTTAAATATACATTTAACAAGCTATTTCGAGTTTTTATAAAAAGGAAGTAAATTACAAAAAAATAATACAATTAGCGTCAACAACTAAATCGCGTCTGAAAGATGGCTAGACGCAGAATAAGCCGCGGCCAAGTTTATCTCTGCTAGTTCCTCGTTCTCGTCCATCTCGTCTGAGAGATAGTTCAAAAGGTCTCTCCCGCGTTAAGGCGTACGTTTAACGTGTACAAGCTATAAAAGAGCAACGTTAAAATGCCGAAGGCTCGACGCGCTCCGTCCCTCTCCGTTCTCTTCACCAGTTCTTCCACTCTCTCTCTCTCCCTCTCCCTCCCTCCCTCCCTTCCTCTCCCTCTCTCTCTCTCTCTCTCTCTCTTTCTCTCATTCTCTCTTCTCTTCACTCTTTCGCTCTGGTGGGGATAAAAAGGACGCGGAAAAGGGGTATCCGTGAATCGTAGTGTGATCGGAGAATAAGGACGACGGGAGAGCAACCGAGAGAAAGGCAGAAAATCAGTCAGGTAAGAGGAGGACCTCGCTACGGCGAGCGAAGAAGGGGATTTGTACAGTTAGCAAAGACCGCGCGCGCGAGCAGCGAGCGGCGAGCGCGCGACTCCACCTTCGACGATAGAGTATCATGCCATGCATCTAATGTCGGACTGGAGATTGTTTTCCCCTCTATAGAAGCGGGACAACGTCCCGCTGATCAAGACCTATCCAAGCTGTCGGGGGATCGGGCCGGACCGGATTCTGGATTTCCAATCGCGCGGTTGCACGCGCGCCTCAGCTTCCACATAACATGATGCTGTCGAAATCGCCGCGCCGCGCGCCGGTGAACGGGCAATTGTCTCGACGTTTGCAATCTCGAGAATTTATGTCAGATATTTCTATAACCGAGTTAATTACGTAGCTGTTGGTAAAGAATTTGTTGGATAGAAAATTGATTGATAAAAAAACTTGAATTTCATTAAAAGAGATGAAACTTGGAATAATATAAATTCATTAAAAAATAAAAAAAAATATCGGTGTAATACAATTTTATAATAAAATATTGAGAATAATAATCTTCTCACAATGAGCGTTACTCATAATTACAAAATCATCCGCCTCTTAACTTATTAACTTATTAATATCAAGTTATTATACATTATATACCATACGTTACACGATTACACATTTCTCATAGATTATAATTTATAATTAAATATAATTTATAATTAAATATAATTAGAGAGGCTCGTGTATCTAGCAAAGAATTGAGAGGAAGAATTTGAAAAATAAGTTAATTTTATATGTTGCCATATTTTAAATTCCCAAGTGCGCATCCCGTGTTTGCGGGGATGCAGAAATCTAGAGGACACGTAACGAGCGCGAACGTAACGCGTTTATACAACAATAAATTACACACGTTAGCAAGACCACGAGAAAGAGAGAGAAAGAACGCGTCGCGTCACGTCGCGTGAGAGAGATCGCGTCTGCCAGCACAAGCATCATCTCCCGACGCAATCCCTTCCTCTCTTTTTCTCTCTCTTCCCGTCTCTTTTTGCAACTCGCCTCTGCAGACGTCCGCGTCCTGTTACGACTTATGGGAAAACTCTCGTGAACTACATGAAGCACAGGGTGTTGTCAGTTAGATAACCCACTTCTCACGCGCGCGCTCCCGCTCCTCTCACGCGCGCGAGAGACGCCTTTCGAATCGGCATGGCGATTCCTCTCGTGCAATAAGTCGCGATCGCGAGTCGATCGCGATTTCCAGAGGCCGAACCCGCAATGTGGTCGCGAAAACAAAACAGAAAGTGATTTAGTGCACTTTGATTTTCACGCGCGCACGAATTTGTAAATAATTCAATAATTCAGTACAAGAGTAAAAGAAATTCATAATTTGTACGATACAGGCACGACCTCGTGTTTAAAACGAATCTTTAGAAGTAGGGATTTATTTCACGTTTACACACTAAAGCTTTCATAATTAATATTTCTGTGAAGATATTATTTTAACGAAGAACACGAGTTCAATTAACACAGCTGATTCCATGAAACATGTTTTTAAGATAAATTATTATTTAACTCATCAATTTATTATTCCATCAGTTTCAACGGCAATTTCTCTAAATAGAGCAGAGTCGATACATCCAATAACCGATCAATTTTGCAAAGAACATGAATTTACTTTCCGGAACTATACTTTCGAACTACATTTGCGTGGTTTGCACGTAACAGCTTTCTGTTTATTTATGAGCTCCATGATGTGTTGTAATAAATCCACTCGCAACTTTCCTCGCATCATTATAATACGCTACAATACATATGCTAATCATTTATCGTGTAGTGGAATAAATGATCCGATATTACAATTAAACATTATTACTGATATCTCAATATTTATAATATTATTAAAATTTTAGAAACGGTAATTAAAGAATTTTTTTATTTAATAAAAACTGCTCGCCCTAAATTCTCATATAAGGAATTCGAAGAAACAGTTTCACAAAAAGATTTCTCTCTTCCCTAGTTCGCGGAAATATTTCACGGATACCTGCGAAACCAGTTGGCGCGCTATTTCGTTGATTGCACTTCGCCGATAAATTATCCAATCAGGGCGAATCGCCTTTATCGCAGTCGAACCCTTTGGGCCTGACAGTTTCGGGCGAACGCGATCGGCGTTACCTCACGGCATGCTACACGCCCCTTGCTTTTTTATTTGATTTTCGATTCTGCACGCCTCTGGGACAAATCTTTCGTGTAATTTCCAATATTTCCGCCGGCCGATCGAACATGTGTCTGCAACGGCATCGATTTCACGGCAACCTTTTATCGACGCTACGAATTTTCAAAGTGTGAAAAGGGTTGGGGATCTCTCTGTGCTTTAAAGGGTGCGCAAATAACGTTGCAGAAAAAATATGAGTTAGAAAATCCCATAAATATAAGACATTTTATGCGGAACTTATATTTTTCCAGCAATAATAAATCATATTTCTGTTTAATTATTAAGAAACTATTTATAAAAATAATTATAATAATAAAAATATATAATATATATATTATATATTAGATTGCAGTAATAAGATTCTTAAATTATTTTCTCTAAATCAAAATTTTTCTTTTCTTATTTATAAAGAATCTTCATTAAAATCATCATAAAAAATTAATAAAATAGAAATACTTAAATACACATGTATATTTTTAGACTTTTAAATAAATATTCTGTCACGGTTGTCGTATTTCCATGAGGTAGTAACGCGTGACGCACGAAATAATAATGACCATTCCAAGAAAGCGTGTCAGCGATAAAAAATTTAACGGTGGAATTTTGCGAGAGATAAATTTCCTCCGGGAAGTAAATCAGACGAACACCAACCGCACAGGAAATCATTTGCAATGACTCGCGCAAGCATCGCTTCGTGAATACATATTGTTTAATTTCTCTTCTTATTTCATTATGGGGCGAACCCCGTGAGCATCCAAAGGCATGTAATGCCGAATACAGAGGCACAGTCTCACAAGGAGAAAGTGACTTTATTCCGGTCCGCGCGATCGTTGTAGTTAAATCTTTACAACACGCGGAAAAATTATATAAGTCGTTTTTCTATGACACCATTTATGCTGCCACAACAATCTCACATTTTTACGAGCGTCACATTGGAAACAAATGGTTACCGTTAAACGAACGGGATAGAAATTGAATCTAATTTACAGAGTCCGAGAAAATGAAATTTTAAAATCTCATAATTCATACTTTCATGCAGATATTCAAGCAATTATTATTATCGCCATATTTATCTGAAAATAATGAATCTCTTCGTTTTTATTACTGTATAAAAACATTTCGTGTTCGCATCTATAATACAAATTGCAATGTTTCTAATTTAAACTCAGTCTACAAAAAAAACTAAACTAGCGGAATATGAATGGTATTCCCTCTCATATGCAAAGAATAGTACGTTGAACCGTTGCAATGAAGAATAGCGTGGGATACGTTCAGGATGGATCTGTGCTAAAGTCGGCCGATGTACCTCTGCTAGAGGCAACGCTCATTAACGCACGATGCGTCCCGTGAATTACTTAGGAGCGTTATAATTATGCAAATTGATCGAACGGTGCCGTAATACTCTCGCATTAATACGCTCCATCTTCCGTTTATGGCGTAAGGGAAAAGCGCGCAAGAGCGAACGCCGCGGCGCGCGACGAAAGTAACCGCGCAACACAACACGTGCCGCTGCAGCTCGTCGTTATCAGATTGCAGACACCGAGTCTGCCTGAAAAGCGATTTCGTGATGATCCAAGCGATTTCCCGAGGTAATGCAATTTCGGAAAAATGTCTCGCAATTGTAGCGTATACAATATGGACAACGAAAATAGTACTTTTTTACGCGGGGCAGAGAATCGTTTAATAACTGATCGATTTAATATTGCGAGCTAGCAATATTTTGCAGTCTGTCAATCATAAAAATTATAAAAACGAACATTGACAATAATTTATTAATAACAACAGTAATAACCGAAATAAATATTCTAAAGGTTTAATGCAAATTTGATTATTTTCTTTGTATCTGTCAACAAATAAGTTCGGAAGTTCCAAGATATCTCGTATAGACTGCCAAATTTAATTATCAAAATTTTGCGCTGTAATCGTAGGTCAAAGTCCTCTGAACGTGACTCCGACGAGAGGGGGCATTTACCCGAGAGAGGCATTCATATCTTCCGATGTCTCGAATTTTTCTCATGTAACTCTCCACGTTTGGAAATTGTACAAACAAGCGAGAAATATTTACAATTCGTTCCCCCGTGGTGATTGTAACATGTGTTACAATCTGGTCAATTCGCACGCCCGATTTGCCCCAAATATCAGACTCGAAGTCAAAAATTCATATAATCATCAACCGGAAGGCGGATTTGTTTGTTTCGGTAGAACAAATTATTGACAGTACACTCAGAATGTATCGCGAATATCCATCGATAACATGAAATCCTCGTGCAAACAGACGACACGTGTTCTTGACATTTTTTGTTCCCGAAGCGTGTATTGGCGCCAGTCTTACATATTCATCGAATCGCGCGCGCGCGATCGAGAATCAAATCCCGGAGTTTACCTGACACCGACATGATAGTAAAACAATCATTCCGGAACGTTCCGAAATCCTGCGTGTGAAGAAAAAAATGATGAAACCGTGATTGATATAGAAGCTAATATTCCGCACGAATCAAATTGATTAACGTCCTTATCTTCGTTCTATTGATCCCTGTGCAAACTAATATCTCGCGGTATTAAGTGCGCAAGATACACTCCTCGATAGTCCCGTTTACTGACCATCGCACACTTTCTTTCGCATTGCTGCACGATATTTGATTGGTAAAGTTGCACAATAAGAGCGCTAATGATTGTTGTTCGCGTGTCGCTATCCTATCTTTGTCATATTATTTCTCTATAATGGCCTAATTTATAAGTTTAATAAAACAGGGATGAGATAATAAAAACCTCGTCTTTTTATGAAGATTCTTATAGACTAACTCAGACTTTGAGAAAAAGATTATCAAAAATTTAATTTATAGAAGCAATTATTGTAATAAAAAATCGATTCTCGTAGTTTTGTAGTTTTGCTCGTTGAAATTCTTTCGTAAGTACCCCGTTAACGCGCGGTACTGGTTTCTATAGCGATATATCTGACATTATCAGCTGATTAGCGTATATGACATATGGTCATCGTTGATTTTATTAGATTACCTCTGCAACTTATTTTCAGCCCATGTATTGTGCACGAGCGTTAGATAACCACAAGACTGCGGACTTTCACGAGGAAATATTGTAAGTAATAAGACACATAACATATTATTTTATAATCTACTATTCTACAATGTTGTCTCTCATGTGAATAATACAATATTAAATATTAAAATATTTATATGTATATTAAATTTAATAATCGATATATTTATATCATAATTAAATTATATAATTTATTAATACGCGATATACGAACGAGATTATGTTCTTGTGAAACAGAATTGTGCGCCTTACGCTCTTTTCTCCCAAAGATGAAAAACCCCTGTTTATGGTCAACCCGTTGTGCTTTACAGACAGGCGGTATTTGAAAGTATTTAAACATTATAGAAAGCATAGTACGTTATAAATTTTATAAAGAATTTATACAATAATTTCTTTGCAGCATAAGGAAAATGTTAAAATTTTTTACTCTTAATAAAAGAAATTTTTAACAATTATCTTAAAAATTACTCTAAAAAAAAGATGATTTTTTTATATGTGTACTGATAAGAGAGAATTACGGAAGCTTATGATTTTTCTGTAAGAAACTTTTCAGTGTGAAAATTTTAACTTTAGCATTTTTAAAAATATGGTACTTGTTTTCAACGTAAGTGTAGTAAAAACGCATTCGAGAATTGATTGTAAATTTGAGGACCGTTCATATACGTTAATCTCAAAGCGGTGTAATCGTCCTAAAAACCTCTAATCTTCTAACAAGGCGGCTACATCGCCGTGGCACGCGTCTAACGCATACACGAGGTGGGGCGGGGAGAAACGCTAGACGTACCCCTCTATGGTGATTATGGGGTGAACTCTGTCTCGGTGCCCCTTAGAGCCTCACGGTGACCCTGCAGGGTTCGTGGAGGGGACGAAATACCCCCGGGACGGTATATATGTTCTAAGAGCCCCTTGCCACATGCACAGTACCAAATTGTACCCCGCCTAGTCCGCTCGTCGGTGAATTCTTATTTTCTCGTTCCGATCGTCGTTGCGTGATATGAATTTTTATTAATGTCTGTTCTCATCCTCCGAGAGTGCTACTTCTACTCTGTGCCGTGTGTTATTTCGGGAAATTCACTTTGCCTCTAATTTGCCAAAAATTAGAGATATTTAGCAACCAACAAATTCGGATTTTGACGATGGTACGTGAAAATGTATTCTGCAAAATTTTCTGAAAGAGCTTGGTATAAAAAAAAAGTTAAAACTGCTTTTATCGAGACTGTAACTCAATTTATAAATCTTGGAAATAAGAACTAAAATATAAACCAATTTATAGTATTGGAAAGTATATTTAAAAGGGCGCCACTACCGCGCGTCTCCTGATTCGCATAGTAATATTATTAGACACCAAGATTCAGCCTCGACTGTATAAAGCGCTTCTCTACTTATATTTATAAAATGCAATTAAATAAGAATTTATATTTTAAAGGAAAATATCTTCTTTTGCTTTGCAAAACTATAATTTTACGATCATAAGAATCTCCATACATGTAATGAGTACAAGCGTGTAAAAAATCAGTTTAAAATTGTTTTATCGCTTTGCGTTACAGCAAGATACGGCGATGTCGTCAGAGTACTCATTCTGTAGCGAGGGCGGCTTCGACGAACTCTCGAGCTCCTCCGATTCTGGTTTCGATGTTAGCTTCGAATCGCCGAAGCACGAAGTACCAGCCGACACTCTGTTCCCTCCGATTAAAGAAGAGAAGCGCAAAAAAACTCGGAATACTCGTTGCAAAAGTCCCACGCAGGTATATAAATCAATGAGTATCTCTCGGTACATAACTCATTCCTGTAGCATCCCATAAATAGTGAAAGAGTTTTTAAATACAAATAAAAAATTTTCCAAAACAATTACAAAAGTTTAAAATACATTCCAGATATCTTTTAGATATCCGTTGGTCTATTCAATTACAATTCTTATCTACTTGTCTATCTGAATTTTATCTACTTGCTCACTTAAATCTCATACTCTCAGAATGATTCTCCTAAAAATCATGCGTCAATTCTTTCTCACAATGTCCTACTTCTACAAATAGGTACTCAAATTAAAGAGGAACCGGCGGATGAAGGCGAACGACCGCGAGCGTCACAGAATGCACACCCTGAACGACGCCCTGGAACGTCTGAGGATGGCCCTGCCGACCTTCCCCGAGGACACGAAGCTCACGAAGATCGAGACGCTCCGTTTTGCGCACAACTACATCTGGGCGCTGTCGCAGACCCTGGGCAACTCCGAGGACGGCGAGATCACGGTGAACGTCGGCAACGTCACCGTCAGCATCACCGAGAACGGCAACATGATCACCTCGTCGAGCGGAAGTTGCGCGGTGGCGGCGCAGAAGAGGCTCGGGCCGCAGCATACCGCAGGCTTCCCGTATCCACCTCAGGAGCGATTCGTCGCGCCGGAATGGCAGGAGTACGATTGCTACAGCGATCAGAGCGTGAGTCCGCCGATGCAGTATCCGCCCTGCTACGATCAGAGGATGTACCAGGTCCACCGTCCTCAGCATCAGCTAGCGCCGCCGCTTCATCATCACATGCCCCATCACAACAACATGTATCAGTGTCTTTAGACGTCAAAGTGTAAATGAATTCTTAATGGCTTGAGCGAGAGAGAGCCGGTTTCTTCAGCGTTGTGATTATCTCTATTCCCGCTCAGAATCAGCCCACATCTCTGTCTACAAATAATGAGAGAAATAGAGAGAGAGACACAGTAATGATTATCGCTTGGATAACCTAATCAAAGAATTAACCAGAGGAAGAAATTGAGCATAACTACTTATAGCTGAAGAGTGTTTTCTTTTCTTTCCAAAGAGCTGACGTGATTGTAAAAAGAAAGGACAGTGCTATGACTATCGTTATCTACTTTATAAGAGAGTATTTTATTCTAGAAGAGTATCGAATCGCTTTTACGGTGTAAGTCGATTAGAATAGGTCTTTAATTCTGCTTTTAATCCTCAAGCATATTTTGCTGTATATCAATCAAAAAGATGATAAAGCAAATTATATAATCAAGATAAAAGATAATATTTTTACAAGAATAGCGGTTTTATTTTAAAATTAATAAAAAGAAACTCTTTTTATGCTAATATTAGAAGCAGTTTAATGTTTCAATGTGGAAAAGAAGGAATATGTTGGATTTACCAATATATTTGAAAATTAATTATAGATAATTAATGAATGATGGATTTCTTATATTTTAAATATTGCATCATTTACGTTCCTTTTGTTCTAGTCAGCAATATTCTTAGTTGATCTCGAACGCTCGATCTCATTTTTGTTCGGCATATCTTAAGGAAATATATATACAAGTTTTTAAGTTAATTTAAAAAAAATATATATATATATGAAATGCCCACCAGTGCTCTTATTATAATATACGCAACTGCTGATTCAGGGAACATATATTGTATATAATTTATACCTAAATAAAATCATATTTTACCTACATTTCACATTGAGTCATCTTTCTTCTATATATTATATTTGTATAGATATATCATATTAATCACATTTGAACATTTACATTATTAATTATAATTTTACATTTATATATAAAATTTTAAAGTATAAAATATAAAAAGTTTTGATTTTAATTTTATGTATATAATTCAGTAACAGAATTTACAGAAGAACGTGTAATATTGTTTTCGTATTTTACTATTACGTTACTATTTTTTATTTTTATGAAAAATCGAAAGATTGAAACTGAGACATATAAGTCGCAAATTATAGAGACCCTATTCTCCCAACGAAATGCTCTAATCCACTTTACAGGAATGAAATGGTGGTTTGAGAATGGATGAGCACGTGCCAGGACACGCGTCCTGTACTGAAGCCACCGCAGAGCAGATGTATCACAAATCGCGCCTGAAGTTACATCCACCCATGTAATCCATGAGATTACACGTAAAACATGACTATGATTCGTTTAATCAATGTAAGTATTGAATAACCAATTTCTATAATTAGTTGGTCCCCAAATAATCAATTAAAATAATAATGCAATTAAAATTCTCATACAATAATCAATATAGTATTCTTTTACATTACGAAGTTATATTTAGCATTTCGAAATAAACGATTCAAAATTAAACTTACAGTACTACGAACTTTTTTTAAACATCTGCAAATAGTGAAATATACTTTTGCAACAATTTTCCGCGCATGGTTGTGTATAAATTTTATCACGTTTAACTAACATTCGCTTGTTATTATGGAAAAGCATCTTGACGAAGAAGGCAATTTGCATAACGAGAGCAAGTGGGTATCCCCTTATAGCGTAACGGCCAAGTGTTAGCAAAATAAATAGGCGATTTCGATCGTTCGATCAAACGGAGTACGAGCGAGAGAAGATCTGTCAAAACAGCCCTTTGGAGCGTCCAAAATGGAAGAATAATATTTTTCTGTCTAGTCCTTGAGAAAATTTCACTTCGCTTCCGAGATCCACCCGTTCGTTGTGATAATATTGATCTATGATTATGTCATATTATTCAATTAAAAATTACGTCGCGTATTTATTGCTCATTGTCTTATTTTTTTCATTATATATTTAATCGTCCCTCCATATAATTAAATATTTGTCTTATTGAATCTTAAATATCATTAAATTTTAAAAAATTATTTTGTATAAGTTACGAAAAAATAATAAGACCTTTAACTTGACCTTTTACTTTATAGATTATTTTTAAATTAAACAGATGCAGTATTTAATTCTTGTACAAATGAAGTTCAGAGGACTTCGCGGATTGCTAATGCGAACGTACTAATCCATCTCAAAACTGCTGCGCGCGAACAATAATTTCCTATACAAGATCTATTTGCAAACAGCGTGCAAGCTGCGACGAATCCGTTAGCACACGCTCGATCGTTTCCCCAAATCTCGCCAATAATAGTAATGCCTCAATGGCGCCATTATGCGGACGATATATCAATGTGTGCATAGCGCACGACAGACGGCCAGCATCCATAAAGGTGTTGGATTTTGGGGTGGGTTCAATCAGTTTTTGCCGAGAGCTTACATCCCGTCCACGTACCCAGTAACTTTAAAAAAAAAGATAATAACGAATAAACCGGCACAACAAACAGTTTGCATCGCTTACTTTGTTACCTTTGTTACAAAGTGCTTTTCGAAAAACAAAATTTTATCTATGAATTCTTATTGATCTACCTGGAAATTCATGTTTTCTGAAAAAAAATTAGATACACCCTTTTAATATCTTTTTTTTTGCAAGAATATCTCGATAATCAAATATCATGAATAAAATTTCTTCATAGAACCAAATCACGCCATTCAATGAAAAATAATTATATTTTTATAAATTAATTTTTCTACAAGATAATTCTCTTGTCATTAATTATAGAAATATAATTTTGATCGGTTATTCCACATTTTGCAGAAGTGAGACATTTTTCTTCTGAAAATACATAGCTCGTGGGTGTAGACACAAGCGGGATTCACAGATCAAGCTCGTAATGACGAGCTTACGTTACTTCCCGTACGTACAGTATTTTTTATTTTTTTATTTTTTTGCGCACGCGCCTCGCGAGGTCACAGACGTAGTGATTTCGATCGACCTTCCGTTGAGTCGTTTCCGTCGAGTGCACATATCGATCGCCACGGTCGGCCCTCATTGTACCGGCGCGCTGGTCTGTACGGTGACATACTGGTGGCTGACAGAGACGGTGGTCCCCCTCCCCCCCCCCCTATGAAAAGAAAGAAAGCGAACGGCAGGGTAACGAAGGGAACGAGGCGCGGGTAGAGGTACGGGGGCCACGGTCATCAGGAGGGTGAGGTCGGTCTTTCCTAATTCAGGAAAACTCGTGAAATTACCTTGACCGATCGTTGAGCACTTAATCGAAGATTAATGGCCGTAGCCTTTGAAGACCGGAGCTCCACGAGCGCGGCGCGACTCCGTCCCCGCGTTGGAGATTTAATTCGCTTCACGAGTCGGCAGTCGTGTCATTCCCGATCGAAACTGCGCAGATTAACAAATTTCCCAATCGGGCAAAATTTCCCAAAACGATCGTGCTGTCAAATATATAGATTGGCTATCGTTAATTGGGAAGAATAAATTTTAATGTTCTTTAAAGAAGAAATATAGAAAATCAGTGACAATAAATCCTGAATCGCTAATGTATAGCGAGATCAATTCGGGACGCTACTTTTCTTTTTTTTTCAATAAAACAAAGATTTATTTTTATTTTAATGCCTTTATTCTCCGGGATCTCCGGGGCTTCAATGTGTTTATTTGCGTACGTCTACTCATACGGAGGAAAATTCAATAAGCATCGTATTTCCGCATCTGTTTAGACGCGTCGTGGTGCAGGGTAGCCGGTTTTCCATTGCAAGTCGGCATTTGCAGGCCTTTGTGGTAAAACCACAAACAATACCGGTTACGCTACCGCGTTGTGCTCCGGCACACAACACGGAGCGCACTGCACTTTCTCTATTCGCGGTGACTCTCACTCGTGCTAAAATATGGAAAACCTTATTTGAGCTGCGGCTGATCGGTCGCTCCCCCATCTCTGCGATTCACGAAATTAATTAGAATGGACCGCGGATTAATGCGCGCACCCTCGTCTTGCATGATGCGTTGTCGGATAAATGAAACGCCGCGGAATGAAGCGTGCACGAATTGCTGGCACATTTATGCATCGGCGTTACTAAGATTAACCGAATCGGGGTGAGTAGGAAAATTAACTGCGGTTGAGTCTTTTGCGGTTGAAGAACTTATAGATTATTTGTTGATTATGTGAATTTGACGTAACACTTATTATAATTCTAAAATAAAAAAATGTTCGTTCTATCACAATTTATTCTTCTAAAATCAGATATACATATTATTTATTATATTTTATTTAAAAAAGATTGAAGTTAAATTTAAAAAATAATACCACAAGAATTTAAATTAAATTAAAAATATCAGATTAATTTAATTTAAGGTAATAACATAAGTTGCTTTTGCTCGGAATAAGTTTTATAATGAGAAATAGTAAAACATGAAAGAAAATTAGAATAATTTGAAATTTCAAATATTATTATATATTTTGTGTATTTTGTATAATCAGTACTCAGAGAATAATTTCGGAAACATTATCCGTCAGCCGTTACTCGGCCATTCTATAATCATCGGTGTCGCGAAAATTGACGGTTTTGCAAAACGTCAAGCCGATGACAGAGAGACTTGCGATGAGAGAGAGAGAAAGAGAGAAAGGGGGAGGGCATTGCCACACGTGCATACATACGTACAAACATATTCACGTACGCGCGTACGTACCCCATATAGTTTGACTCCAGCGCGCTAGACGCACAGGGGGACAGATGTCTACGGGGGGCAGGTGTACCCCAGTGGTGCGCGTGCCAAGCAACCCCCCGCCGCGCCACCCATTCAAGACTATAATTTACTTGAAGAATGCCCGACCCAGCCAGGCATTCATCCCGGAGTGACGTGGGTTGCTGCTTTAGGTTTAACAGCGTGGCTCTCGATCGCGAGAAGCCGATCCCGCAGATCAGTCCGATTGCCACCCGTGAACCTCAGCGACGAATATCGGCGACGTCGTATACGACGTCTGTCACAATAATAACGACGACGTCGCGTCGACGGATGCGCAACAAAGCACGTATTATAATTAGCACGTATTATAATTGTCGAGAATTTAGAAAACAGACTGCAGTATCACGAAGGTAAAGTACTCAAATTTATGTGCTCGAACCAACAACATTCACTTGATCCATATAAATATTCATATTTCATCGCTATCGCAAATTATCTTTCTTTTTAATTAAAATAAGAAGGGAAAGATATATGTGTATATTTGTGTATATTTGAATGTTTATAGTATTGCACGGATTTAGATAGCAAATGATACGTTTTCGTAATGGTATCAACCGTCTTGACACTTCCTCACTTTCCCCGGGCTTTAATCACATGTAAAACCGGGATTAAGTCCGCGCCAAAGCCCCGTCGGACAAATCATTGATTTAGCATCATTGTGAAGCAAGTCCGAAGCACCGCGGCGACGCGTTTTATTGGGCTGGTAGGATCGAGATTATGCAGGATTACATGTGCGCTGAAAGTATGTTTGATCTCTCGTCTCCTATCTGTGTGAGTTTTATTTGAATCGGAAGGGGCTCGGGAAAAAAAGACAGTCCATTTAAACCCTACTAAAATGGGG